ACCCTCGCTTACGGTAGCATGTGAAGGTATCATTTTAGGGCAACATTTTCCTCTTTAATTCATGCCTTTCTTCGACCACTTTTTTCATACAACCCCTCATAGCCACTTGCATTAGTAGTTCCGAAAAAGTAGAAGTGTAATATCCACCACCAACGCTTGATCAAGAAAAATACAAATAATAAAAGAAAATTAAACTAGAGGGGGAGAAGAGCTTCTTCAGTTGTCTTTTTTGCGAATGTCTCCTCGATGAGGATGGTCTTGTCATCCATAGGAAGATCAATGGCAATGTGTTCCACCCCATCATGGTCTGACGTCGGGTTTTCTTTAGTTCTGATCTTTTTTTTGAAAGTAGTTGAGCTCCTCCTCAGCATCCGTTAGTGAATGTTTTCATGATAAGTTTTTACTCATTATGATGGCCCTCAGTTTGAGATACATAAACCCCTCCAAAGTCACCATCTCCTCCTCTAGTTTAGTGATTTTCTTTGGTTTCGAACAAGACCGACATAAGAGCCTTGTCTTCTTTTTCATTCTCTGCTAAAGCGGATTTTTCCACCTTATTTTCCACCTTTGACGTGGATGATTTGTTGAGGGCTTCATTCAGAAGGCCCGTCAATTCTTCCCTGGCCCTCTCTTCTTCTTTCTTTTTTGGAAAGGGCATCCTCCAGTTTAACCTCGGCAGCATGTTTGGCTACGTCAGGTTCTTTAGCTATCTTTAAGGATGTCGTCGATAGATGGCACACTTCATCCATACATGCATGAAGGGCCAAAGACGCTTGTAACACCTAAAATATAAACATCATTGTGAGTCCCTACTAATCAATCTTCAAGAAAGCTCCAATTCATCAATGGCAGAATCTCAGATCTAGCATTAAGAACACAATGATAGTTGAAAGAGAAAGTCAATATTCAAAGTCTTGGTCAAATCATTTATTACGTAAATGAATATTGCAATGAGAATCCTACTACAATTACAAGAACCAAGACCCTATTTATAGGGTCAAACAATACACAAATGGTCAAAGTCAAACTATCTAAGAAAAGTCAAACACGATGACTTTTCTACAATTATAGACAAAATAAACTTTCAAAAMGAATACAATATTACACTCGCTTTCAATTTGTATTCAGACTTGAAAGAAGTTCCGCGCTTTGAATCATGTTTGAGCTTTGAAACTTTAAGCACATTATGTCTTCTTCAAAACAAACTTCAACTTATAAACTTCAGACGATTGTTAGTTGAGAAAGATCTTTTAACATTCTCCCCCTCGAATGTAGAACAGCGATGATSTTCTCTTTTGACAATGTAGAACARTAYCAACAAAAWTCTTYAGAAACAATGTACAAGATGTGATCTTCAAAGAATCTTCAGACAACAAACTCTAACAAATTTTCTCTTTGAAAAGAGAACTCTGATGGTAAACTTTTGAAACAATGATCTTCTCATTCAAAAACTCTCAGACGTTGTGGCATCAGAATAATCATTTATAATCATCTCCAGTCGTACTTCTTTTGAGTCTTTTGCCAAATTTGAAGTTACTCCCCCTTGATCTTTACCTAAAATTCCCTTTATAATGTTTGGAATTGACATTTCATTCATTATTACATACTCCCCCTTATGATGAAATGAGAATCATTCCATCATACACAAGATGAATGAAATTCTTTGCATAAGCCGTCAATTCATGAAATTGTAAATAGATCTTTTCAAATCCACTTGTTTAATCTTTTCAGATTAAGGGAATGGGAAGATAACAACCAATTTTAACGTATGAAATTGTTTTCAATCTTATAAAAAGATTGGCCTGTGAGTATAACAGATATACTCAGTACAATAGATGTACTGTATATATGAGACTTTTTGATGCTCATCTCACCAGGTCTTCCATTCAATCATCGATAGCTTAAAAATAGCATATCTATGAATGTTTTGGCAAATTAACATATAAAATGTTAAATCTGTGTAGTGTAGAAAGATAAAGCAACGTATGCTTCTGTTTAGGCTAAAAAAGATAAACCATGTGGACTACACAAATTTATCAGACTCAATTAGTGATCAAGAAGAATTGAATGGGGGACATATATCCTTCTGATTCAATATCAACTTTCTTCGAAAGAGAAATTGATAGATGATGAGCTGCGTGCCCCAAGTGTTATTGAAACACTTATCTGTTAAGAGATAAATGAGTAGCTGGTGGGGTTGTGACAAGAATTGGCCTGGGCTTTGCCTTTTTCAATATTAGTCTCGAAAGAATTGAGAACTAATWGATTGTGTGGTATGCCCGGATTTTAGAAGTTTGGAACAGGATCTTGTTTATATTTTTGATCCTGACACAACTCTCGTCAATTCTTTTAGCTCACAACAACTACCCCTCTATTTTTCATTTTAATCTCAGCACACAAACCCTTTTTGAGTTTAAGCTCACTCAGATATGGTTGTCCTCTTGTGTAGGTTTGTCGGTTCTGACATTCTATAGAGGTATTTCTGTGAAGCACTCAGTCCCTCCTAAAATCTAGCATTCTACACAGTTTATCACAAATAGTTAATCAAAAATATTATTGCAAATAAGTACAATGATCAGATAAAAATTGATCAAGAAATTTGGCTTTTAAGCAAGATCAATAAAGAATGATGCGACCATGATTAGATTATTCGGTATGTGAGAGAAATGAATGAAGATATGTAAGAACGAGTTTACAGATTCTGATATTAAAAAATTATTGAATGTATATCAATCAACGAAAAACAATATCAAGAAACAAACTTGAATACAAACGAACGTATTATCACCGAAAATGATTTTTCGTATAAGAGACGTGATAATAACAGTTTGAAGAATAGCTGAAACAGGTATTGGAGTTATGTACGACGAGAAATTGCACAAGTAAAATATCATGAAATACCAGTTCAGAGAAATTACTCGTTTCCAAAAATTTATTCACTTCCAGAAAACATTTATTTAAAACTTCTAGAGACTCCCCCTAGAAAGTTGATTTCAGTAATGTTTCAGTTTAGCTCAAAAAAATAAAAAATGGAAACATTTTAAGCACGGGTTCTAAACTGAGTGTTTAGAAATCACACTCTGTAACGCACGGGTTCTGAACTGAAGAATTCAGAAGCCACGTTTGGAATAAATTACAACTCCCCCTGCATTGGTGTATCACTAAAATGATATTCTGATTAGCACAAAATTGACCCACCTGCAAATACCAGATTAAGTAGATTTTGGTACCCAAATGAATTGAGTCCTATTTTGTTAGTATCGGGTTGGGGTACATTGTAACTTCCAAACCATCTATTCTTATTAGATATATTCCTTTTAGCACTGTGAACAGGATGATCAGGAATAAAATATGATCCATACCAGTAATTGTAATCATACCTGTTCTTACCTTCCCAACTGTTCTGATAGCTGTTATCTCCATGCCACCTGTTGAACCTTTTCTTATTGACAAAATCATTGGTTCTGCATGTTTGCACATAATTCTTCTCTTGCTAAGATTGATCAGATCATTAGTGGATCTCACAATGCAAGGAAGAACAGAGTTAGTAACAACAGGTGTATGAGATGAAACAGAATCAGCTTTATTAACCCAAATGCTTTTAGTCTTAAAAGATTTATTAGGTGATCTGATAACATACCCATGATAATACTGATTAGAAGAACGAGAATAGTTCTTAGAAACAATAGATTTAGGGCTGCTTGAATAACTGTTCGATTTGGAACAGTCATAGAAGCTAGTTTTTCACTGTGATGAAGAGCCAATTGAGCTTTGTGCACAAGAAAAGTCTTTGACTTTCTGTAAAAGTTGGTCTCGTTCATCAGTAACTAAATCATACTTCCTTTTAAGTTTAGTTCTCATCTTCAATTCAGTTTCAAGTTCTATCTCTAGATCAGACAATTTCTTTGCAGTATCCAAAAATTTACCTTCTAATTCCTTCTTTAACTTTTCAAATACTTTTCGTTCTTTCTCAAATTTCTTTCTCTCTTCGTCTAAACTTCCCTTCTCATTTTCTGAAGCAATGTCAAGCCATTTCTTTTTCTCTGTAAGCTCTTTGGCAATTGTAGCATTTTTCTTGGCAGTGTTTTTCTTTTCGAGAACAAACACTCTCTTCTCTTCATCTAATGCTTTATTCTTCTGAACAATGCTATCAAACAATTCCAAATTCTTTCTTTGACATTCTTCTTCATACTCTTTCTTCACTTTATCAAACTTGGATCGTTCTAAGATGATAACTTGTTCAAAATCTGATATTTGTTTTGAAAGCAAATTGACATTCAGCTCTAATGTTTTTACCTTGCTTTCAAACACTTCCCTTTCAACATCAAACCTCTTTTCAGTTTCTAAAACCTTCTCTTTCTCGAAATCCAGTAACTTCCTTACATCAAACAATTCACTTTTAGATTTATGCATTTTAGCTGTTAAGTCCTCAATCTGTTTGTTTAACATAACTGTCTCTTCTGGATTAGAATAAGTTTTCATCAGATCGCTCAACTTTTCTTGCAAGATTTTCTTTTCTTCCTTCTCTTTCTCATTATAGTCAGTTAGATGAATTGTCAACGAAATGTTCTTGTTAAGCTCAGAATTTAGTTTATCGAATTCTTCTTGAAGCTCTCTATATTCTCTCTCGTAAAAAATTGTCATTTCAGAAATAAGATTGATCAAAGGATCTAATGCAGTGAAATTAGTTAAAAGAAATCAAAAATAGATAAGCTCAAAAAAAATAACAGAAAAACACAAAAACTGATGAGAATTTAGAAAATCAACGAAAAACTATAAAAAATAGTAAAAACAGTCAAAACTGTTGAAAACAGTTAAAAACTGTTAAAAAGAGTTAAATCAGTTAAAACTGATGAAAAACAGTTTACTCGATGGAGAATAGTTCAAAAATCTCTCAAACAGTTTAAAACATAAACCAAAATAGATAAGCGAAGATCCAAAAATTAAAATCTAGAAAAAAAATTAAACCCAAGAAAATATAAGCCCAAAACAATTTTCCAAGACCAAATCGACAGAAACGATTACAATTACAGAAATGATGATACAGTACAATACAATACAACACAACCTCAAGAGCAATTTCAAACAGCAAACAAAGATTAACACATTCTAATTTGTGTCCATCTGCTTGATAAAGTGCAAAAACAAGAACAGACTACGAGACTTGTGATGCCACAAATCATCGATTACGAGACCAAAATCTCTACTGCTGCGTTGTCGTGGATCAATTTGTCGCTAAAATCCTCAAATGATTTGAAAAGCAACAACTTTTCTTGCTAGACCATGTTTAAGCAGCCTTGATATGTATACCAGGGAAGGAACATATCACTTCAGATAAGAATTCCTGCATTAAAAAACAGTACAATGATTACAAAATTGTTACTCAATTAAGTGTAGCTCCAAAAAGGTACATATGAGGAATCTAGTAATTATGGGAATTTGTTTTCTGAGGATGTGGCCCTTTCTCCTTGTGTGTCCCCAATGGACCCTTTGTGTTATGTAGTTCCTTGCAGCTTTACTTTGAATAATGCTTGCCACCAAAATGTTGCATCTCAGAATTGCCAACGCCAAGTGAATCCCGAGAAGTAATTTAGCCTTGCAGCAAGTATAACCAAATACAAATCAAGTTACAAAATCAGCAATTAACCAATAAAATGAAATCAACAAAGAACCTGTCTCTATATCAAGTTTAACAAAATAAGCCACACATCATCATCCCTCGCATCATCATATTATAAGCAAAATTAGATCTGTTGCCAAGTAAAATAAAAGTGGTATTTACAGAAAACTACCTCGAATGAAACTGAGGTTCATAAGGAGTGCACAAGTAAACCTGGGTACTCGTTGAAGCAAACCTGGGTACTGACTGTTTGTCTGATGTTGACCTCCAATAGATTCAAACTACCATGTGCACCAATTTCATATGATCTATTTGAATTAGATATCTGCTCAAAAAAAACCAATATGATCTATTTGAATTAGATATCTGCTCAGAAACAACCCCTTGTTGCAACTCATGTACCAAGAAGCCTCTCTTGTTCACATTATCTTGAATTCATTTAAGTGTCCAGCTTTGGTTAGCACCACAGACATCTGTACAAACTCAGCAGCAGAACCCTTGGGATTGAAGGATCTTTATGCTGTTCAACGTGCTTTGGTTGTTGGGGATTACCACGAAGCTGTTGCACAGTGCATAGCTAAAGGTGGTTGCTGTGATGGTGAAGATGTGAGACTGTCTGTGACCGATTAAGTGTAACAAGGAATGCCTACAACAACCAATACAAAACAACCAGTACAAAACCTTAAATCAACAAGGTCCTGTATTTGAATTACAGTAATCGACTTTAAACTTGATCCCCTGGTCCTATCCAACACAAACTTATCCAATCAATTAATAACATGAACTAAATTGATCATGGTTGAAGATGGTAACAACAGACCGTATGGATCCAATTAATAACAGGAACTAAAGCAGACTGTATGGATCCACTTCTCACGGTTCTCAACTGGGCAATGCTGATAAGAACTGTATGCTTCTCTTTGTATCTTCAAAACCAACCTCGTATCAGTCTGTTCCAACAACGGTGATCACCGTGCGTCCGTTTATGACTTTTACCAATAGACTTGGTTGAGACTAGTGACACAAGATGATCTTTGTGTTCTTCACTAAACAAATTAGATTTAATGAAACTCCGCTCAACCAGTGAGCGATTAAACCAAGTTCCTAAATCGACTGAGTCTTAATCGCTCAAACAATCGCTCAAGCCTAAACTAAAATTGCTCACAACCTGTTCTAAATCGCTCACAAACTGTTCTATACATCGCTCACAAACTGTTCTATAAATCGCTCAAACAGATAGTTAAATCGATCAAGCAGTCAACTAAATCGATCAAGCAGATTCGTAAATCGATTAAGTTACAAGTCTAAATCGACCAATACTAGCTGTAAATCGCTCAGCAAACTAACTAAATCGCACACCATTATGGTCTTAATTCGGTCAAGCCCGCTCAAGCTTTAGACGATATACCAAAATCGGACAGACAGTCTGCGATTTAGACTTACCAAGATAAGAACGTGCGATTAAAACCAAATCCGACTTGCGATTGACTTTGAAATCAGAGGAACCCTTGATCGATTTACCAAGAACTCGTGCGATTTATGCTCTGATTTGATCCCCTAAGGGGCTGTTTGGCAGTTGCTGAATGATTTAGTTCAGAATAGCTAAGAAGTTAGAATGGCTAAGAGGGTCAGAATGGTTAAGTGTTGAATGAAACAAAGTTGTTTGGTAATTGTTCTCTGAATGACAACAAATTACCATTTTAACCCTCAAGAAATACAATCAATTCTAAACATCTTTTTATAAAAAAAAAAGATGCTGTTCTTCATATCAATATCACAAATCCTCAAGAAATTGCAAAAATGTCGGTAATCCAATCATCATTAACATTGTTACAAACATGAAATTAGCAATAAACACCATCAATTTCCAAAGAAAAATGCTAAATTCCCTAAACCAAACCCTAGACAGGAGAGGACGCAGCAGTGACGAGATGCAAACCCTAGACAGGAGAGGCGACAGCAACGAAGCGGCGACGTGAGGCTGTGGAAGGCGACGAGGCGACGGCGACGAAGCGGCGACGAGTGGCGGCGACGAGCAGCGGCGACGAGCGGTGGCGACTAGATGCAAATCCTAGACAGGAGAAGATGAGGCGACCGGAGACGAGGCGACCGGAGACGAGGCGACCGGAGATGAGGCGACGAGGCGACGGCGACGAGGCGACCGGAGACGAGGTTGCATCGATCGTAGGGTGGGGGAGGGGCTGTGAACGATGTGAGCGATGTGTGAGGATGACGGGAGAGAGGGCATAGTTGGAAAAATAAACATCTGAATGGTTTAGTGAGGTAGTAGATGCAAAATGGTTAAGATGTTATTGTAACCATTAAGAGGGTTGTTTTTATTTTTGCCAAACAGACCTAACCTCTTAGCGATTAAGAGGTTGGCTCTTAATGTAACCATTAAGAGCCAAACAAACAGCCCCTAAGTCTGTCTGAGAACAATATGCACTCAAGAAGATGAAAGTACAAAATAGGCTATTGATGGGCCAAGTAAAAGAAAAGTAAATCGGTTGGGCCAAACATTTAAAAACACAAGAACAGAAAAAGATTTAAAAAAAAATGGATCAAACACTAAATTTAAAAAAAAAATAAGAACACTGAAAACAAAATTGAAAATCTCAGATCATAAATCTTTGTGAATAGAAAAGATTCACAAAGCGATTTTGCACATTTTGATCCCGATTTTAACACTAAAACACAATTTTTTTAAAAAATTTGGATCAAACTTAAAAAAAGAAAATGAAGAACATCAAGAACATTAAGAAAATTCAAGAAACTTTTCTTCAAAAATTCTTCAAAAAATGAAGATTTCTTCTTCTGATTTCTTGCAAATCCAGCTCTGATACCAATTGTGAGTCCCTACTAATCAATCTTCAAGAAAGCTCCAATTCATCAATGGCAGAATCTCAGATCTAGCATTAAGAACACAATGATAGTTGAGAGAGAAAGTCAATATTCAAAGTCTTGGTCAAATCTTTTATTACGTAAATGAATATTGCAATGAGAATCCTACTACAATTACAAGAACCAASACCCTATTTATAGGGTCAAACAATACACAAATGGTCAAAGTCAAACTATCTAAGAAAAGTCAAACACGATGACTTTTCTACAATTATAGACAAAATAAACTTTCAAGATGAATACAATATTGCACTGACTTTCAGTCCTAACAATGACAAGATTTTAGGACGTGTTTAAAAGTAATAATTAAAATATTTATCGAAGAAAATGACCTTAAAGGAAATCCCAATAGCTTGTATATCCATGTTCTCAATTCGAGGTTTTCTCAAACTTTTCCCGATTTCTAGGATGGAGAAAATACTTCATATGAGGGAACAAACCCTTATCAGGAACATCCTTAACTATAAAATCGACAGGACCTGGATGTTCATCGACATCGATTTGGGTCCCCCCCTTTTCCCCTATCCTTCTTAGAATAAGTCATCACAACATTATATACCCACTTTTCTATAGGATGGGGATGTCATACCTGAATGAGGCACGTTCGTCTTTTTGAGATAGACGACTTTGGTGTGGTCATTGATAACCAAAGACTGTGCCTTCCCATCTATGTTTTCTTCTTCTTTATCCCTAAACCAGATGTCCGGCTTTTTTTTTCAAATCCTTGTCCTTTCAAGCAAGGACAACATCCCTCTCCCTCTTAGAATGGCGAATTGATGTTTTCCTAGGTCTTTCTTCATATATGAAATAAACAATTAATTAAATTATCATAAAGATACTTAGATATATATATATATATATATGCATGTGTGTGCGTCTGCATATATGTGTGTCAAAAACACATAAATAAGGGAAGAGAGAATACATGCCATTTCAACCTCCTCTCCTTTTTCTTCTTCCGACTTCTCCTATTCAGCAAGGCTTGTTGAGTCGAAGAATTGAACATCGTGTGATAACCCGGTCCTGGTTATGCACATGAGCTAATTGTTATATGATTACATGATTATGTGGTCTGGTGAATATATGATTAATTGTTATAGTTGATCATGTGGATACATGCTTACATGAGATTAATATGTGTGTGTATATTTTTCATGCATGAAAAGTATGTATATGTATTATGCTTGAAATGTTATACGTATGCATGGGTATGCATGGGTTCATTGTATGGTTTATATGGTTTGTGTGTGTGTGTGCATATCTTTATTATGCATGCATAGGGGTTTTGATGGCATGTGTGTGTGCATGCATGTTTCACATGCATAAAATTTCTTCCACTGCCTTTCCTTTTAAGGGAGGGTATATAAATTAGGAGAGTTTGGCAAATAGAAGGTTTTCTTCCATTTTTAGAAAGTTGAGAGAGATCTGTGAATTGCTTGCTGATTTTCAGAGTGAGTCTGGGATTCAAAAGAGGTGTACATATGGATATAAGGGTGGCATATGTGGGGTGTTAATTATTGTAACTCTTGTTATTATTGAAATAATAACATTGATGTTATTAAGAAAGAGAATCCGAGGATTTTGATTTTCACTTGATCAAGAGAATGAGTATTTAATATGACACATGAGAGATTTGGTTGGCCTTTCAAATGGGCCAGAGGGCCTCTGATCATGTGGAAAATCTTTCAAGTGTTTTCGGGAATCTTGTGATCCAAAGGCTCTGTATCATGGAAGTTTTTAATCCGTATTGTGCGTTTGATCTCTGTGTCCAAGCTTTTTCTTTTAAAACTCTATTTTTATTATATTTTTATAGGTGAAATCCTTTTTAAATATCTTTAACAAATGAAACAAGGAACCAGAGGAGCTCTGGTTGTATCGTACTATTCTTTTCTTTCAAATCAAATGTTGGCCTATTTGGATCAAAGGTTCTGGTTGTACATAGGGTATTTGGTTAGGTTTCGTCTTATTTATTTCGAGGTAAGTACAAAGGCTCTGGTTGATAAGGGCAGAGGCTCTGGTCAACTAGAGGGACTAGAATAAGAGAAGGGTTACGGTCTTTAAGAGCAAGAGGCAGCTAAGGTCTTTAAGAGACAGAGGAGCTCTGACCCGTTAAGCCAGAGGAGTTTTGGGGTTTTATGTTTATTACGAGTTATGGATTTCGTTAAGCATGTATGTGTTTTCTGTATATGTTGTTTTTCTTCTCTAAGAAACATGCAGACTACAACCTTTTGCTGAAATATATTTATCTATGTGCAAAAGATGATTTTAATAGGTTTTGGTGATCTTCACCATGCAATTGCAAAGAGGGGATTTTCTCACTAGACTTTCTGGTCTAACCCTCATTTTGTATTTTAAAATATCCATTGTAGGTTCAGCGAGATCCAAGGATATTAAGGGCAAGGGGAAAATGTGAATATTTTTCTTATGTGCTTATCTGCTCTAATGAAGATCAACCTGTTGATTGTTGTATTTTGAAGATTCATGTTGATCCTCTCTCTTAGTGATTTGATGATAATCCCTTTTACCTTATACGAAGTGTTATTGTTTCTGTCTTTCGGTTCTAGCGATCATCACTGAGTCTGTTCAGTGATCGCTGAGACATATATTATAAATCCATCAGCGACAGCGATACTTCAAGAATACAAAACTCACACCAAAGAACCTTCAACGAAAGTTGAAGACTGAAACTGAAGATTAGAGACTAGCGCGTTCGTGATCTGAAGCGACATTCAGTGATTACAACCTGGTCAACATATGTGTGAAGACTGCCCAAGCCTCAGCAAATGCTGAAGAGACCTTAAGGGTTTTTCCAGCATTCAGCGATCAAATGAAGCTTTGATGCAAGATTGTTTTTGTCTTGTCCTTCCACACACAAAGGACAAACCCATACCCTTTCTAGAGTATAGTACGGTACAAAACCGATTAGTTGACTCTACTACCCACCAACTCCATGAAAGGATGTCTGCTCATGAATAGGCTTTTGCACTATTCACTGTAGCAAAGGACAAGTCTTTCTCTAAAGGCTTGACGTGTGTTCAAACCCTACTACATTTCATTAAATGTTTATTTAATGCAATGGGTATAAATAGATGTGTGCTATCTCCATGCAGAAAAACTCTAACCCTAATTCTTTCATGCATACGTGAAAGAACACACACACATATCTAAGAACACTTACGCTTATCTTCAAGCAAGTTATAATCCCTTTTTCAAGTATTCTAAATAGTTCTTACCTAGAAAAAACTAATTTTTTTTCTTAGTCTTAAACAACAAATCTTTTCTTTTTACTAAGATCATTTGTGTGTAACTTAGATTGTTTAGATAGGTTATATTTACCTTATCTTACCTTGTATACAATCTTGTAAAATCTTTATTGATTCTTCTTTATCAATATATATTTTAAATTTGGAAATTTTACTATGTTTGTATTCATCCCCCCCTTCTATAAACTGTTTCTAAATATCTTGTTGACCCTAACGGGACCAACAAGTGGTATCAGAGCAGTGTTTCATTTTCTTGTTGTTTAGTTGTTTTTCTGCATTTTATTATCTCTTTCTCTCTAGATAAGGTACTGTTTTCAAATTGCTTTACGAAACACAAACACACTTTCATGATAATGGCTCTCTTGCCAATCCTCCCCAGTTTATCC